ATAATATATAAATAATAATAATAAAATTAATAAATAAAAATAAGAGAGAGTATATATATATATATATATAAAAAGAAGTAAATACTATATATATATAGAAAGAGAGAGAGAGAGAGAGAAAGAGTTGATTTTGTATAAAAAGAAAATGTACGAAACAGTATTTCTAGTAGAGCCTGATTAATAAAGAAAAAAAAACGTAAATAAATAAATAAATAAAAAAGTAATAAGAATGGATAAAACGGTAGTCACACCAATAGAGATCGTGTATTAATAAGATCGACGTTGATTATACGACTACGATAATGTAATAACGGTTAGGTTAACGTAATCTTAAACAAGAGAAAACAATGTTCCTCTAAAGCTGAGTAAGCCAGCCTTACGTTAACGAGCGTAGTTTTTAAGAAATGAGCGTAAAACACGAGAGTCGAAGAGAATTTTTTTTATTAGATTATGAGCGGAACGTTAATCGACCTTGTAATCGTAACAGACTAAAAAAAAAAAAAAAAAAGAAAAAAAGTACGAAACGATACGAAAATTGGAACCCGAAGATTTTACGCGCGAGAAAATAAAAAATAAAAAGTTGGACGTGTATCGAGATTAGTTTTGCGATGCTTCCGTAATCGTTATCCGAAGAAACGCGCCGCAATACGAATATTAATACGTATATTTACACGTAAACCCACACGCGTAGAGAAAAAAAAATATTATATATATTAAACAACAGACGAACATATGTAATGACATATGTATAACGTATATATAAGCGAAAACATTTGAAAAACGATCGACGAACAGATGAACAACAGATGAACAAGTCGATTCGAACAGCGCCTAGCCTTATTTTTCTACAATCTTCTGTTTTTTCGTCAGTATTCTCTAGGAATAGAAGAAGAATATATCCCGGACAGGTTAAGTTTTTTTCGACACACCGATAGTTACTAGAGGATACGCTGCGAATAAATTACGAGGAAATTATATAAATATATATATATATATATATATATAATATAAATACATATACGCGTGTGCACGAGTTGTTGGTTGCGCGAGTGATCGGTAATTCACGAGAAAGAAACGAATTTCTTATTCTCGATTATTCAACGGTTAGTCTCGATTACGATATTCTTTTATATGTATATATATATATATTTTTTTTTCTTCTCGATAAACACGACACAAACGAGCCTCGATTTTTAGAAATTTGGTTGGAAAATGGAAATCGCTTTCACAAGCGACAGCTCGTGCCACGGACAATGTATAGAGCATCATACGCACTATTTTAGCAGATACTAGGGTACGTAAGATTATACGTAAGACACACGAAATAAAGTATATATACTATTTAAGTAATGCTTTGTACAATAAAAGGTATTCAAAGAAGATGACGTGGCTGATCAATGGACATCCATCTTTATTCGATTTACCGAAAGCCCGAAACGAGATTCTAAAACGTGAACGGAACGTGAAAAAGTTTTCATCTTTCCTTTGATTTGTTTTATCTTCTTTCGTTTCTAATCCAACTTTTTCTAGCTCTCTTCCCACGTGGTTTACCGTCCAGGACTTGCGCCGCCACCATCGGCCACCGCAAGCTCCTCGAAAAACGATAGAGGAAAACTTTCACTTCGGGAAACTCGCCTTCATCACCCTTTTGTTTGTCTTCTTTTTTCAGTCGCCCGCCGCGGCTTGGACATGATGCGGGTCCGCGCCACAGATCCACGCCCCTGCCCGAAATGCGGTAAGATCTATCGATCCGCCCACACATTGCGCACCCACCTGGAAGATAAGCACACGATCTGTCCGGGGTATCGTTGCGTGCTGTGCGGTACCGTGGCCAAGTCGAGGAACTCGTTGCACTCGCACATGTCGCGCCAACATCGAGGGATCAGCACCAAGGATCTACCGGTCCTGCCGATGCCCAGCCCGTTCGACCCCGAATTGGCGTCCCGTCTGTTGGCCAAAGCAGGTGTCAAGGTGAGTCCCGCCGAGTTGCGGGCCCGTGCCAGCCCCACGGGCCCGAGAAGGGGCGACATGAGGCTCGAGATACCACGAGGGGGCGCCCCGTCCGAGGCTGGGAGCAGCATCTGCGGCGGAGACGATCCGGAGGACCTCACTTTGCCGCTCAGCCTCAGGTATGGATCGCCCACGCCCAACAACAACACCGTGATCACGAAAGTGAGCGGCAGCGGCAACAACAACGGCGCCGGAACCGCCAAGAACTCGACCACCACCGCGATAGCGGCCAAGTCTTTGGACACGTTGCACGGCAGCCGCGAGCCGAACACGGCGCCCCTTCACCCGCCCGGCCATCTCCATCCGAGCCATCACAACGCCAGCGCGACGGGATCAGCTATCCTCGATACGTATTTGCAATTTATCGCGGAGAATTCCGGTTTGACGACGATGGGCCTTAGCCCCGAACAAGCTGCCGCTGTTGCGGCGGCACACGCGGCCAAGATGGCGCACATGAGCGCCATGGACAAGCTGGGCGGTCGTGGGATCGAGGATTATCCCATGATCGGCCGGGACGAGGGTCGGGGGCCCGGCGTGGTGCACGAGGATCGGCAGGACGCGATGCAGGACAGGCACGTTGGATTGTTGGACGAGGGGGAGTCGTCGGGGGGCGAAGAGGACGATTTCAGCGAGAACGAGGAGCCGGAAATCGTTAAAGCCGAATAGGTGGCACGGGAATCTGCCACCTATGTAGTTTGTTGTGTAACGAGTGAGAACCCGATTATTAGGAAGCGCTTTGGAGAGACGCGTTTTTTGGGGGGGAAGGGAAGGGGGAAGGGGAAAAGGGGGGGAGGGGTCCGATTGGATCTAGGCGCGTTCCCTTCGCTCGCAGTCAAATCCATCCACTACCTCAGTAGAGACTTGTCCCTGTTTTCTTTTCGTTGCGGGAGAATAGAATTTTTTGTTTTTTTTTTCTTTTTTTTTTTTTTTTTTTGTTTTTCCAAAGAAAAGATGAAGAAAGAAGATGAAACGAAGTCATGACATACACACACACACACACGCGCGCGCACGCACGCAGACATACACACACATGTATTATTTCACATTATTTTACATTTATATATTCCGGGCCGATTCCGATCGGAGAAACGAATCCCTCCTTCGTTACACTCGGAGAAACGGATCAGGAATTTCCGTTTTCCTTTTACTTATCAACACGATACATACACAAACACACACACGCACGCACGCACGCACATATATTCACTCTATCACACATCATGTAAACACGTGTATATGCGCGTATACAGTTTTTACCCCAGTTTAAAATATTCCATCTGTCTACCTCAGTGAACCACGATAAACGATAAGTGATAGGACAGACCAAGACGAATCTCACGGACGACGATGATGATGTTTCGGGGAGAGGAGAGATCAGAATCAGAGAGACGAAAAGATGATATGATATCGCCATGGCTATTCTTCGCATGAATTTTTACTCATTTATGAAAAATGATTTGTGAATACGAAAGAACGATATTATATCGCGAGCGACAGACATCGTTCAACCGGTTCCAACCGGTGCTTTCACGGTCTCGTCGAAGCGATGAATTCGTTCGTTGAAAAAAAAAAAAAACGAGAGATTGCCCTAGCGAATCGACGAAACCTAGACGACGAGGATGCTAGAGGATCAATTGTTCGATTCTTTTTATTTTCTAAAACGCTGTTTGAGAGAAAGAGGGAGAGAGAGAGAGAGAGAGAGAGAGAACAGAGAGAGTGAAGAGAGGAGAGAAGAGAGAGAGAGAGAGAGAAAGAGAAAACGGTGACCGTCGCGTATATGCACGCGACTCCCGAAAAGATATTATTATTATTATTATATTATATTATATTATTATTATTATATATAAATGTTGAGGAAAAATATATATTGTCTAGATTTATAGAGAAGTTAGTATACCACGACACGTACGTACGTACGTACACAATACGAATAAACAAAAAAAAAAAATAACGATAATAATTGAAGAGAAAAGGACGCGTTCAAGATAACGAGTAGAATGGTGTAGCGCTAGGGTTTAGCACCCTCTGTATTTTTTAGACGCGTGCATCTTTCCAAGGTATACACTCACTTACAGACGCGAATACACGGCATTACGTACATTAGAGTACACACGCAACATACAGACACACACAGTACCATTTTTCACACATGGTTGTACGTCACATGTGCACGTACACACACGAGAGAGAGAGAGAGAGAGAGAGAGAGAGAGAGAGAGAGAAAGAG